CAGTCGAGGGTGGGGCTGTGAGGCAGCGGGGAGACCTTTGTGCTCCCGGTGAGTGGAGTCAGACTCCACTGCTGGTGGAGTAGACCCCAGATTGAGATGCTGCGGCGGGGGGGCAGTGGGGCCTGCGGCCCCAGGTGTTTGCAGGCCTGCCCCACCCTTTGCTGGCAGCCTGAGGCCAGCGGGAGGCATCCTGTGGGACCTCAGTCCAAAACCAGGGACCACTGCTGCATCTCTTTCCCCAGGACGAGATCGCAGAGGAAGGCGGGCGGCGGGAGTGCCCAGCCGTGTGACAGCATCGTTGTGGCATACTACTTCTGTGGGGAGCCTATCCCCTACCGCACCCTGGTGAGGGGCCGCGCTGTCACCCTGGGCCAGTTCAAGGAGCTGCTGACCAAAAAGGGCAGCTACAGGTGAGTGTGAGGGCTGGGGTGCCCACTCGCTGCAGGGGTACGTGGGTGCCCAGCAGTACGAAAAAGAGGGTTTCTAGCCAGGCATGGTGCCTCACTTCTGTAATCCTGGCATTTTGGGAGGCAGAGACGGGCAGATTGCCTGAGCTGAGGAGATCGAGACCAGCCTGGGTAACATGGTGAAACCCTCTCTCTACTAAAAATACAAAAGAAATTAGCCAGGCATGGTGGCGGGTGCCTGTAATCCCATTTACTTGGGAGGCTGAGGCAGAATTGCTTGAACTCAGGAGACGGAGGTTGCAGTGAGCCGAGATCGCACCACTGCTCTCCAGAACTCCAGCCTGGATGACACAGCGAGACTCCGTCTCTATCCAAAAAAAAAAAAAAAAAAAAAAAAAAAAAAAAAAGGCTTTCTGGCTGTTTCAGCTCCTGTCCCTCATCTGCACCGACGCCAGTTCTCCAAGCCCTGGGCTGAGGATGGCATCAGGCCTTCGGCCCCACAGGACTGGGAGGGTCCCTAAGGGGCTCCTTCCAGGGCCCTCAGCTTCGGGGTGAGAAAACAGCCAGACGCCCAGACAACAATGGTCTGAACCTTGTGTCGGGCTCCCCTGGGCCAGCCTTGTCTCCAGGCTCTGGATTCAGCTCCTTTTGCCCAACTGAAAAGCCAGGCCCCATCCTACCAACGTTCATTGGGCCTGGGCCCCTCAGCCCTGAGGGCCTGCCTGCAGCCAGTCTTGGGGGCTCCTGAGTGAGCGCTGGGGGGTGAGCAGAGGGGGCCTGACCACAAGAGCCTGGCAGAGCCTGGCAGGTGGTTCCCTCTGTCCACAGGCGACTGCAGACACCCGTGGACTGTGTCTGCGGATGTGGTGCTGAGGGAGGACCCCAGTCGGGGTCACCTCCATGACAGGGCTCAGCCCTTGGGAAGCAGATACCCCACACCCATCCACTTCCCCCCTGCACCTCCTGAGAGGCTGGGGCAGGTACTCCTAGGGGGCTGTAGGGTGCCTCCCAGCAGGCAGTAAACTCACCCCCTGTAGCTGCCACTTCACCCACATGCGGTCATTGCACTGTTCACTGTTGCCCTGGGAGGGGCGCACGTGGTGGGGGTGGTGGGGGCGG